TATCATCTTGTGCAAGGGCCAGGATAGTCTCATCACAACTTTCAGATGGTTCTGGTGTGTTATCATCCTCATCATCAACCAATAATAAGAGAAATTTTCCAGAAGTACATTTATGGCTAGGGATGAATTTCTCGTCACAATTAAAACATAACCCTTGGGCACGTTGCTCTTGTAATTGAACATTAGATAAGCGACGAATAGGTAATTTGGGTGGTTATGCTGGGGTTAATGGTTTTGTGACAGGTGAGGATAACTGCATTTTGGCTTGGTGGGTTAGGTCTGGTGGGGTTAGAGAAAAAAGGATTGTGGAACTTAGGCTTTACATCTCTTAATTTGGATTTGATAAGCTTTGCAAGCCCAATTGCTTGAGATATGGATACTGGTTTATGGATAGCTATTTCATTTTGAATTTCTGGTGCCAAACCCGGAATAAAATAATTAAGGATAGCATTGTGAGATAAGCCAATAACCTGATTTCCTAATTTTTCAAATTGAGCTTGGTATTCCACAACAGAATAAGTTTGTTTCAGTTTGAACAACTAAGCTTGTTGATTAGCGTATGTGGAAGGACTAAAACATAATTCCACGACTTTAGTGAAAGAAATCCAATCCAATAGTTGATGATTTTGATGCATCCATTTAAACCAACATAAAACCGCTCATTCCATATAAAATAACATCATGGCTAAGCAGTTTTATGGGGGTAAATTATAAAAAGTAAAAAATTGCTCAACTTGAAACAAGCATTCTAATGGGTTTGAACCATCAAACATTGAAAGTTTAACTTTAGGTGTGCGGAAAGGGGGAATTGGCGGGGCTTGAAAATTTTGGGAATAAGAGATTTGGGAAAATTGGGGAATAGAGAACAGTTGGATAATAGTAAAGACAAGAGATGACATATAATAAAGGGGTTCCATGTATGGTTGAAAAAATTTTATAGGATGGTGTAGGAGTTATTCTAACAGAGGTAGAATTTAGTGGTGGTGGCAGGTTGTTAGAAAGGGTGGCTGCATAAAGAGGTGTTGTTGTGGGGCGTCTGAAATTTAGTGAGGATTGAGGTGTGTGTAAAGTTTAAAAAGGAGAGTGAAGGTTTGTATTCATATAAAAGAGGGGAGGGTTTTGTGTGATACTTGAGGAGCTGGCAAAGTGAACAGTAGCGCTATAAATAGTACCAACATGAACAGTAAATAGTAGCCGCGGGAACAGTAACATAAGGCTGTTTTTCGGTTTGAGATGCTAACTTTGTAAGTAAACCCATGATATTTTCATATCTAGAATTTGCAACTTGTTTTTCATTATTCATTTTAATATGAAGCAGCTCCATATCAGCATGAGTTTTATAAAAACGCTAATCCATTTGCTGTTGGGTCTCGTGCATAACATTGTTAAGGTGGATATGTGTTGTTTGGACATCTTCCTCTATAATTTCTTTAGGGTTTGGTGATTTGGGGGCCATGAATTCAAGATAAAAGCACCAATTTAATAGAAATTTTTTAGCAACTATTAAATTTAGATCTAGAGTTCTATCAAGGAAAAATACAAAACTAATTGCAACTAAAAGAAAGACATAAAATTTGTGATAATTCGCTACCTTCCTTAGAGGCAACAAACCAATAAATACAAATAAACTTCAGACCTAATGGATTTTCGAATGGGCCTAGCCCACTAACTAAAAAAGACAATTAAATAGCATAAAACTAAAGGTTAAATACACTTTGCCCCCTTGCAATAGTAGCGAGTTTTGATTTACCCACTTTTAAAAAAAAATCTTTTCTCCCCTTAAGAAATATAGATTCCAAAACAAAAAACCTTATAGCCCAAGATTCCTTTTGAGTTTCAGACGTGGCCAGTTGTCTGGGCTTCAAAATGGTGACATGAAATTGTAACTTTAGCAATGTAAAATGAAAACAAAGAAATATTCTCAAAATTTAAAGTTCCATGGGATTCAAACCCATGAACACTTGGGTGTGTCAACATTCTTCCAACCACTCGGTCAACTATTATTTGTTGAGCATGTTTACCCCAAAATCAATTAATAATAAAGTCAGTTAATTAAATATCTAAATAAGTTTAACCCTAAAATTAAATATCTTATTTTGTGACAAAGCCTTGCATCCATTTGGGCTTAAACTTAATCTGAATGGGCCTAGTATCATCCAACAGAAAAATTAAACAACCTGCAACCGAAAAACAAGAATTAGAGAAATATCAGAGATTTTTTATTTATTTTTTATTTTCAAATGGCAGAGATCTTTGTATTGACCGAACTGTTTTTCAATATTTGAGGCAAAAGCTAATCCAATCCAATAATGATTACAAAATGTAACTTAGGATTCCTAAAATTACCTGAAACACATGCAAAATATTGACAAATTCAGGTAAGATAGTGTGTGTTTACTCATTTTGACATAAATAAGAATTAATACTTGAAAAACAATTGTATAAAATGCCTTTAACAACAATTATACCTTTCCATCTTTGATTTCCTTCATGTTTGATGCATGATACTTAATAAAAAACAAGTGTGCTTAAGAAAGAGTTTACAAAAAATACAGAGAAGAAAGATTTTTTGAGTGTATTTATAGTGTCTTCTCGAGTGTATTTATAGTGTCTAAGTATTGGAAGTTGTAAGATTTTAAAATGAATATAAGAACTTAGAGCATGATTATCGGTGTTCTTTGAGAGTTCTTACATATTTATTAAAGAAATTGTATCAATAATAAATGAATATTTCACTTGTTTTCACGTTCCTGAACTAAAGCACGTTCTCATACTAAAGCACGCTTCTACACTTCAATTAAGTGGGTCATGATAATAAATTAATAAATAAAATTGCAAGAATGTAGTTGATTTGTTTTAAATGTGGGATCTATTTTAGATTTTTTGATGAGTTACATGGATATTTGAGAATTGTAGATGAGTTGTTTAAAAAATTGAGAAGTGTGAAATAATATAAAAAATTATGTGGATTCCATTTAAAGAACTCAAATAGATATGATGTATGTGAATGCTCTTAGAAGGATGAAGAAAAGAAAGATCGTGGCGGTCATGGGTGAGGGGCGATTTTTATAAATGGAAGATTGAATTAGAAATGCCTTGAATGAGGTGAAGGCCAATTCTATTTTAATTAGATTTTTTAAGAATTGCAATTTATTATTTGGAAATAATTGCAATTTATTAATTGGAATGAATTGCTTAATGGTAAAGCCAGCCACGTGGGTGATTAAGGAATAAGAAGGGTAATTAAAAAAAATTTAAAACACCTAATTTTCTTATATGATAGATTTCAAAAAATCATTAAAACATATTAAATCAATAAAAAAAACTATGTAAAATCTGCCAGAGGATCATCCATTTAATATGCATTTATTGTGAGTAGTTTAACAAAAGGCAAAACAAATTTTAATAAATCTACTATTATTTTATTAGAGTTTTTATTTTTATTTTGTTACACTATGATTCTTAAGAGAATGTGATCTATTAATCGTTCGTGAACTCAAGTATGAATACTAGTTAACATTGTTTTTACCAAAAATTAAATTTGATATTTTTCAATAATTTTATATAAACTCTTTTACCACTGGAGCCCAATTATTTAATTTTCTATTGGAGTTTTAGTCATAACTATCATTTTTTTTACTATTCTTTTGAAAATAATTTTGTTTGCAAAACTTTAAAATGGACATATATAATATAAATTATTAGTGACATTATAAAATTAGATAGAAGTGCATGTGTGACGGAAGTCTTGGATGAACTTTTCCGCATTAAACCTCTTTGTAACAAAATAATAAAACTATTAGAAAGAGAAGCGAACATTTATCAATGTTAAATTGGAGATTTTTAAATACTATCTAAAATTTTAATATTATTCTTTACCGTTTAATGTGAACTTTTAATTGATCCATATAACTTTTTCTTGAAGTTTGGATATTGGATCCTTAAATGTTTTAAAATTTGAACATCGCTCCATATTTATATTTATTTATTTTAATTTATGAAGATGGATTCTATTTTTCAAAATTATATTCAAAATAATAGTTAATTAAATAAAACTATTGAAATGATATTTAGAATGTTAAATTATCTCATCCAAATAAAAAATATTTACCAAAGGAGGGAGAAGACTGCGCAAACTAGGGGCAACAAAAAAAATCTTTTAAAATAAATAAATTGTTTAAACAAAAATAATGATTCTTTATGTATTAATATTGTAATTATTCCGATATGCAACTAATCAAACCACACCATAATAAATTTGTTTTATTAATTAATTCTTAAAATATACATATATTAAGTATTCAACATAATTTAATTCAGCGTAGAAAAATGAGTTTTAAATTAAAAAATTTAGTTTATACAACAAGGACGTAAAACTTTTCTACCGCATACACCGAATCACGTGATATTGGTATTTAAATTTTATTTTATGAACTGACATATAAAAATAACTATAACTATGATATAATATAATTGAAAACACAATAACTCATATTATAGCAATTCATCACTACATTTACAAAAGAGGAGATATTACGTTTAGAAAATTATGATAATTACCAAAAGTAGTTTTTAAAAAGCTTACACCAAATATGAGACTCTCAATCTAACTTTATTGAAAACTTTGCAATCTAACTCACATTACCAACAACTAGAAATAGAAGCAATACCAATGGCACAAACTAAAAACAGGACCAGTACTAATACATAACTAAACATTTGTGCATCGAAGTGCCATTGGTGTTGGTAAAATAATTTGAGTACGCCCACTCCGAACAAAGTGCTTTAAATAATTAACAACAACGAAAAAGGAAAGGTAGCTAGCTAATAAAAGTATACCACTATCAATGAGAATGCAATAACATTTCGGAGCCAAAATACTGCAATATCATGTCGTTCTAGGCCTCAATACTACTTGTGTTCTCTTCACAATTGCATTTCCGGAGCAACTCGCAAATTCTTGTATAGGAAATATGACGTACGAGTTTGAGCTATTTTTGTCAAAGTGGATGGTACGGGACATAACCTAATACACCCGTCAGATTAGTAACAACATCACTGCATCTTGTTAAAAGGCTTATCATTTGCTGTGATATATCAACCGTGGCTGACGTAGTTGGTGTGTTAATAAAATTGGGGTTGTTTCTAGATGCCATTGCCAATTCAGAATTACGCAAATTTTGTTGTGGGGATTTTATAAACTGGGGAGGAGTGGGCAACAGCGGTGGTTGTGAACTAGTAGTAGTAGTAGTAGTAGTGACCTTTTGAATATTCTTACTAATAAAATCCGTTGCAACAGGTGCACCAGCATCAGATAAATTGTTGTTTTTATTACCCACCATTACTAGCTCCCCCCTACTACTACTTTCTTCCCCAACTAACAAGAATTTTACACGAGGGTTTCCTTTACTACTACTACTTCCATTACCAGTACCCTGACCTGACTCATCGCCAGTAGATTTCTTCAAGCAGGATTTGAGCTGGACTGTTGACTGTGGAACTAGAGGTTTCTGTGATGTCAGTTGCTGAGCTGCTGCAGGATCCCTAACACGAAGTATTTCATTGGCTCTGTCATCTCCCCGAACCTGGGTAGCTTCAGATGCTTCAGATGCAGAATCATCCCTAAGGGAGCACTTCACGCCTGTGCTGCCAAATAAGGATGGGTTTGCTGCGGAAAATTTAAACGCAGCTTGTGCATCAGCCTTGTATAAGAAAACAACACGGCAAGTTAATGATTTCCAAAATATACGGAAACCCGATTGATCCATTGGTCCAAAGCGAGCAAACCTAGCCTTCAGCTCTGGCACAGATGGAAGGGATGTTTCGGGAGGAAACTTTATCACCAATGTGGTGGGCGACTTAATTTTTTTGGCCGAGTCTGGTTTCACAAACTTGGATGGAGCCTGGGATACAGGTTCTTTCCCATCTTCTCGCCTAGCTTCAGAAGTTTTCTGAGTGGAAGATGTCTTATCTTCTCGCCGAGCTTCCAAAATCTTCTGACTTGAAGTTGCCTTATCTTCTCGCCGAGCTTCAGAAGTTTTCTGATTGGCAGCTGTCTTATCAGCAGCTAGAGCCTTTATATCCTTGATTTTCTTCAACCTCTTTGCAGCAATTTCTTCTTGGCGATCAGAGGGGAGCCTTTTCCGCCCACCTTTTGTAGGATCATCAGGCCGAACATTTTTTACAGGTTTTACAATTGGAGAAGCTCTGACATGATCCTCAGAATTGTCAGATGTTTTGACATCGGAAGAAGATTTGGCAGCACGGACTTCTGGAGCTTCATTCTCTGTTGGTGGTGATGACGGTAAGCTTTTTTGGTAAACAAGGGATCTAAACCGCAAGAAGAACTGGCGAACAGCTACAGGAATCCTCCTTTCAATGCCATGGAAAGGATTGAGAGCAAGTGCTTGCAAATCACCTAAAAGTTGCGGCACTTCCAAATTTACATCACCTAAGGTATCCACAGGCAGCAAATTGCGAGCACTGAATTCTACCTGCATTTGTTCTGGTTGAATACCTTCCCTAGGAGGCAAAGTGGTAAAGACAGATTTCCCTGTTAAATTTCCTGAATGGTGTACAGATTTTACAGAAGTAGAATGTTTCTCCAAATGGTCTGACGTCGTCTGTACGTTTAGACTGTTTTTCTTTTTTTTCTTTCTCTCCTCAATAACAGCAGTCTTTGAGTTCATGTCATCTGCAGGTCGCTTATGGCCTTTTATCTTCTTTGCTGCGATAGTTTCCCGATGCTTTGCTTCAACAGATGAATTATTTTCCCTCTTAACTTGATGTGTGTCTTTTCCTCCATCAACAACAGTTGGAATTCCTTGCTCTGGTTGCTTCAAATTTTCACATGGTTCTAACAGTTTTACAGCCCTGTCATGTTCAACATTCACATGAATATTGCTCTCCGGATGGGATGATTGAGATGTCTCATCAACAGTGCTTTGCAATGTCAACTCCCCGGACAAATCAGACCCAACAATATTTTTACTTGAAGTATCATCTTGTTCAAAGCTATGGGTCGTTTCTTCAGAGTAGGCCATCTTCCCCTTTTCAACATGAGGTTTTGTATCTAAGGAAATAAGTTGGGGTGCAAGACCACTGTTTTCTGCTTTAACCTGACTCCTTGAAGCTTCTTTGGCATCAGAAGTTGAAGTTGCACCATCATGACTAACAAATCCAGAGTCTGCACGATTTTCTAAACTGGGAGGTATCACAGGCACAGGTGGAGACCTATTCTGAAACACATAATGCCCAGCTGTATCAGGTATTTCCTCCTTGTATGTTAATTGGGAAGAATTACTTTGATCATCTCTTCGCTTAAAAAGGTACCTATCCTTTTTTGGATTATCCTTAAATTTAACAGATTTGGCAGTGCTTTTCCCACCACCCAAAGTTTCTGCTATCACCAAGGGACCAGTCAACGGAGCTGAAAAAAGAAGGAAAAAGTAGCATTAATATATGAAGCTGATTTTGAGTAGATTGAGAAACAACAATAAGTTGCACATCCTTTAAAAAAAATTAACATGTCTATATACGTGAGGGGGCAAATTACAAGGGCATCAACTTACGTTTAAGGTTAAATTTACAAAACTTATAAACTGCAAATAGACAGCCTATTGTCTTGTCATCTTTATCATCAATAGATGCTACTTACCTATTTCCCCAACACATTCTTTATAGATTTGATTTATATTGTCTGCCATTCATGCGCCTCAATTTTCATTCTAACCAAACCAATATTTTTATGATTATATCATATTGTACTATTGACTTGAACAATATCCAGAATATCAACCAGAAAACAAAACAAAAATTTACAGAGTCAAAGAATGGCTAATCACTTGTATTTTAACTTTAGATCTAGCTTAAATATCCAAGGGATAGCCATAGATTTGCAGAGATTTAATCATTAATTGAAGTGTCAAAAGTATCAAAAACAACTCAAAGATGAAGGTAATGAAACACAATACAATCCAGTGGTTAGCTGAATGAGGTGCCGATAGGGGCATATATCCACAAATAAATAAACATGGCAATCAGTATATCACAAAACCATCTGTAACAGTTTTTTTCGAAGGATTTCTAAAATAATAGATACTTTAGCTTAAAAAGATTAAGAGATTTTAAAAAATCAAATTTCAAATGTGAATTTGATTTAAATAACTTTGCATGAAAAATCATTTTAAATATTTCATCTTTATGTTATGACTATTTTAGGTAATAAAATTCATTGTTGTTAAAAACTAGTATAGGGTGTTATACTGATAGTGGGGATCGGAATTTGGGAGCCAATACAATATGTCGACACCACTATTAGCAGCATATTGGTGCATTTTCATATCTATACGTGCATGTAATGAATAGCAGAGTTATGTGTTTTAGCGGTAGCTAGACCTTTTAGAACATTTTTTTTAAAAGTACAAATAAGAAGTGGTGAGTTGATTAGTGGTATTATATATAATATACCTAACGCGATAAAACCTCACTACCAGCAGTACCTAGGTAAAGACACAACTCACCGCCTCAAAAAGAAAAAGGTAATAGCTCTGTTATTCACTTAGTTCCCTGTATGAACCTATGTATCATGCTTTATTAGTCGATTAAAATAATGCGTTTTATGTCAGTTACTATCTTAATTTCTGTTTATGCGGCTTTTATTTGTATGAAACACACTATTTTATATACATTCATGTATATTTCAACTGAAGCCGCTGTATACCGTATTCACTATGCTATCCGCTATTTTTCATATCGATTTTCAATCGATATGTGATCCCTTATTAACAATAACACATAACATTTCAAAACATGTTTAAAATGAGAAGCTATTTGAGTAGCCTTTCATAAAAATCATACTTAAGAGATGCTTTTTTGTTTATAAAAAATGTGATTTTATGATGTTAAAATCTCTAACACTGAACATCCAAATTAATGAATATCAAAATTACTCTTTTTAATCTAAAAGAATTGAGTTTGAAATAGCTTCTACTATTTTTTCAACAAGTTCTCATAAAAATCATGTTAATAACATAAAATGAAAATCTTTTTATAACAAACAGGCCCATATTTGTATAGCATCAATCTATTCACCTTTCATACTATCCTAATACATCACTCCACCACACAAAGAAGCATTTAAATAATAGCAGCTAATTATCCAACAAAACCCAAACAAACACTACAAAACTCAAAACTCCAATGAGGAAGTTGGGGAAGCGTAATATACCTTTAGTAGGCTGCCTTGCAGGTTGATTGATGGGAGCATTCTGAGGCCGAGAAGGTCTGGCCCGCTGCACTCCAAAAGCCTGAGCATAAGTCTCATCATATTGCTCAAACACCGCCTTCCTATAAGCATTAACCGTAGCCTTATTCTGAACAAACCCAATACTCCCATGCTCTTCCTCAAGAGGAGCAAGAGCCAACTCTCTAACAAAGTCAAGAGTCTCAAGCGGATCAAAACTATCCCTCGCATTCCTAATCTGACTCTCCGAATAAACCCCTCCCGGCTCATAGTCCAACACATCAACAGAATAATAACCCTTAACCTTCACGGGCCGAAAATTCTGACCATTTCTACACTTACAAGCCAAACCAAGCCCCCGTCTCCTACTGGCCTCATCAACCGCTTCCTCCACCGCCTTAATAAAAGTCCTGGAATACGTCTGTTGAGATTTCTCAGCGAAATTCGCCTCGAACGGAATAAGCTCCTCCGGCTCAAACCATCCGTAACTACTATCACCAAAAAACGCCACCAAAACATGACCTTCTCGCCTCGCGCGGCGCACCGACGGAGACGCAAATGCTTCATTATAAATATGCCCAGGCCACCAGGGATGCGATTTCACTTTCCCCCAAACCAAATCGCCAACTTCAAAACCATACCCTAGATCCGTTCCCGTTCCCGTATCAATATTTCTCTCTGAAGCAACGTACTCGTCGAATTCTAACAACAACGATTTGCTATCGGAAAGGGGAAACTTGTCCGTATCGTCGGAAGAAACCCTAACGGGTTCATCTTGGTTCGGAGAAACCCTAGCGTCAGAAGAGTTGTTCATCAGTGGTGGAATTTGGGGGAAAGGGGAAATATGTGAAACCCTAGAAGAGATGGAATAAGTGAAAGGTGGTTACACATGCGTGATATGGAAGACGAGAGATACAAAGAGATGTCTTCTACTTCTCTGAGTTTCGATTGTCTCATTTTTGTTTTTACATTTTTTTTCGGAGCGGTTAATTAAACATCATGACACGTCGACGCGATTGAAAATATCTAAGACCATGCAATGTATCTAAGCACATAGATAGACTAGATATGCACTCGGAGTGGATTCTCTCCTATGAAAATGATGCTAATGGATACACTATTATAGTACGTGGATGGAAAAAAAAAATCCTTGTATTCGAGTTTATACTTGCTAGAGAAACAACTTTAAAATTTGTATCCGTGTCTCTTGAATATGTAAGTATTCATATATGTATCTATTACTCGTATTTTTAAAATATATATATATATATATATATATATATATATATATATATATATATATATATATATATATATATATATATATATATATATATATATATATATATATATATATATATATATATTATGAAATATTATATCATTTTAAGTTTTTAAAAATATTTAAATATTTTCAAAATATTTATTGTTGAATTATGAAATAAATAAACACTTATGTTACATGTGTAATGGTTTAACATAGATGTTGATCTGACCTGATCAGAAGGTTTGGACCGTCACGGCTTTCTCCGAGCTGAAGGCTTTTCGAACGAGGAGGGGGGGTACCTGCAAGGCACTCTGATGCTAAAGTCAGTGGGAGTACGAGCAGATAATAGAAGTTGAGGTTAGAATGATGAATACCTGACCCTCTGGAAACAGAGGGTATTTATAGCCCCCAGCGCTGGGCCAAGGTTCCTTCATTGGGCCGGGCGGATTTGGCCCAATGGAGGAACTGCCAGGTTCTACGTGGGTAGTGGAGACCAGCACGTGGTCCCCTTCCTGGATGTGCTGCGTGAAGTGCGGGCGGACGGAGACGCGGTCTTTCCGGAGTGTCGTTGGGGCAACGGTGGACTGAGTCTGCCCTAGCCGGGTAGCTCGGGACCATGTCGAGCTGGACAGCACGGTGCTGAGCTCGACGCCAGGACCTCGAGCTGGACGGCGGCTGTCGAGCTGGGTGCCAGGACATGGAGCTGACGGCAGGGTGTCGAGCATGACTTCACCGCGTGGGTTGGACATCGGGATGTCGAGGTGGATATCAGGGTGTCGGGCATGGACGTGACCCCCTTTGCCCAGTGTGGTCTTTAGTGAGTCCCTTTGGACTGGGCCTTAGTAATGCCTTTGGGCCTGTCGGGCCCAGTCCAGAACAGATGTATTTTTAAAAATTGATAGATATTTATTTTAATATAATAATATAAATTAAAGTATATAAATATATATTGTGTGTGGGTATGGGGCGGGGTGGGTACTAAGGTGTTCATACCTGCATCCATATCCGCTTATTTAAGTGGGTAAATACTCGAGTTCGTGCCCGTATTCATTTATGCGAGTTTTTATCCTACTTGTTATAGATTTTTTTGTGGGTACCCATTGGGGATGGGCAAAATTGTCATTTCAACTCATGAAGTATTTGTCCAGTGCAATCTCAACCATCAATTATAAATTAATCAATATAAAAATATAAAAAGAAGAAGTTTTAATGGTGAGGATGATCAGTGCTTGTTTACCTTGGGATTTGGTAAACAACCGCTGATCCTCCAAATGGTTACTTATTTGGTTACTCGCAGGATCGATCAGATTGATCCTATGGACATAGGTTGATTTTGAAGTTTAATTAATGTGGATAAGGCTTTAAGTAAATTGGTTAAAGTAAATTGCATAAAGGAAAAGGCTTGGTAAAATAAACAAGGCTGGAATGTAAAGGTTCGACAGGAATCTTAAAGGGAAAAAGCATGTAAAGTGTAAAGGTTCGACAGGAATCTTAAAGGGAAAAGCATGTAAAATACTGAAAAAGTAAATGACTTGAATTGATTAAATTGGTGTTTCACACATACATTTCTCAACAATTCGTTCGCTCACACTGGGTACTTGAATCTAAATGAGTGACTATGTATCTATTGTGAACACACACGAGAAACTACACGTCTACTCCTATTTATACAAAAACATTCCAAGTAACCGTCGGGCAGTTACACTGCTTCGAGATCAAGCCACTTGTCACGTTCTCCATGCTCGACGCTCCAGATCCTTGCACGTTCGCACGTAGTAACTGCTGGAAACCGTTTTCCCTCCAAAGCTTTGAATTTCAAACCGCTCCACTCTGGACTATCGAACACGTTCGTCAAGAGACGTCTTCGACGAAAACTCCTTCGACGTCGAAGGCAATCAGCCTCCTTCCTTGGAAGAAATCTTCTAAGTATTTGGCCATCTTTCGACGGTCACTTCGACAAGCTTAGCCAGTCGAAAGCATCTTTCAGCTTTTAATGGCTGTCATCAATTGAAACAAAGGTGTCGAATTTAGGAGCCAACAAATTGCCCCCCAAGAATGCCTTATTTCGACTCTTGAAAGAAAAAGGCATTCTTTGAAAACGCCATTCGACACCTGTTTGTCCACGCTGAGTCACAAGTTAACTTGTGCACTTTTTGTTGCTTTTTACCAACTATGGGCAATCCCAAGAAACCATCATTGATTTGATCCTAGGACGTCACTGTCAGTACGGCGTGCAGAACCAAAACATCACTTCATAATTTGTCATTATGACAAATTCAAAAAACGAGGACGCACGCTGCGTCTCTCTGTTTCTGCGGAAACGGCCAAAACAACAGGATGCTGCCACGCGTCCCACTACTCCCTGCAGCATTAAATGACATTTAATGCCCTCGTTATTGGGAATTTCTCCCACTACTATAAATAGTAGTGAATATCCCATTGTGGGACTTTTCACGCAAACAATCTCTCAAACTCCCTTGCTTCCTTGCAAACTTGTTTCTCTTTGCAGAAAAACTCTTCCCTTTCCAACTTCATCTTCATCTTCAACAATGGCTTCTGCTTCAACTGCCCCCAAGACTAACGCACCAACTGAGCAACTTGCTAAGCCCAAGGTTTTTGTAACCGCTCCGGTAGTGAACGCTACAGGGAAACGAAGGGTCCCTGAACCATCTGATATCTCCGTCCGCGACGCTTACTCGCGTCACTTGATGATTCCGGTTGGATACTCCAACCAAATCTTCGCAATGGCTGGACCCATGAACCCCAGCATCTCTGAAGCTCTGAAGATCAAGAGCTACTTTCCCATTGTCGAGAAGCTCAAGCCAGTAGCTTGTGCTAAAAAGGATCCAGAAGATAACGAAGACCCCACACACGAGAAGATCGACCTTCGTTTCTTCAACAGAAGTGTTAGAGTTTTTAGGTCTTGCCCTAATCTCACCCAGGACTACGTTGCTTGGCTAACAAAGCTGGAAAAACATCAAACTCCAGTCTGGAAGGAGATGGGCATCTTTGACCTAATAATGCTGTCGAAGACAGGTTTAAACTACTCCCCAGAGATGCTTATAGCTTCGATGCTGTTCTGGGATAACTCTCACTTCACCTTTCACCTCCCATGTGGGATGTTAACTCCCACACTCTTCGACGTAGCAGCCATCACTGGCCTTCGACCAACCGGAGATTACTTCGACCCGGAAGAGATGTCGGAGGACCAAATTGGCTTTTCTGAGACGAAGCCAACATTCACCACCTTTATCAACCACTTTCATGACAAGTCGACAGACACAGTGTCCGACGTTGAACACATAGCGTTTCTAGCCTTATGGCTAACTCGCTTCGTGTTCTGTTCGAAGTCCCTGCAAGTGACCAAAAAAATGGTCACCCTGGCCACCCAACTGCATCACCGTCAGAACATCTGTCTGGCAGAACTAATTCTGGCCAGTCTTTATGACTCCATCAGCAATGGGGTTACTCTTTTGAAGCATATCGAAGATAGGAACAGTCTGCTACTCGCTGGGCCTTTCTGGTTACTTCAACTGTGGCTTAACGCCACTTTCGAGTCTTTCTTACCCAAGAAGACTCCGATAAATGAACAAGCCTCAGCGATAGCTAACAGACGGATCGAAGGAATTAGGCTGGCTCTACTGACGCCTGCGGAAGATGGGCTAGAGTTCCAACAAACCTTCACTAACTTCGTGCTGATGTTCGCTCGAAGGAAGGAATTTGTTTCGACTATGGCTCCATTCGCTCAGCGAAAGGTGGGGCCAGCTTGGTTCACAAGGCCACATCCCAAGGAGTCGAGTGGTCCCAATGTTGATGAACACACCATACTGTGGGAGGCATTCCTTACTCCAAGGATTATGCCTCTTCGATTTAAGAGTTCTAAGACTCATCTGAGTCTGCTGGCCTATCAACCAAACCTGGTATCTCGCCAGTTTGGCATCATCCAAACCCTGCCTTCTCCCATTTTCCAAAAAGAGAAGTCAATGTTGTACTTCTGCAACGATTATACAGAAGACGCTGCTACCAAGCATATTGGAAGATATGCTGGTCGAACCATCCTCTCGCTGTTCAACTACCAGCTTAACTTCCTTTGTTCGCCATCTTTTGAAGAATGGTGGAGAAGCTATTACGCTGAGTACTTCTTCGACGAGAAGGACTTTACAGCAGAGTTGCAGAAGTCCTTTGTCCTCGTATTTGACAAAGTAAAGAAATGTAAGTTCATACTCTCACATTACTTTTATCTTTCTCTTCGACTGTTAGCTTGTTAACTTTCCTCTTCGCTTTCAGTTGTTCGAAAACCTTTGGTCAAGAAGGCTCCAGGAGGCCCACAAGGAGGAGTCCCTTCGACCAAACCTCCACCGCCGGCGAAGACTATAGCGCCGGCGAAGACAACAGGCAACCAACAGGGGGAAGGCTCTTCGATGAGGCCTCCTGCATCGGTAACCAGATTTTCTTCATTTGCAATCTGGCTTTCGATTTTTTATTTTCGACGTAATTATTCAATCGAATTCCTATTGGTTTTATAGGCCCCTTCGCCCAAGAAAAGG